CAACTATTCATAAAATCCTAAAAGTTAGTCTTGAAATTGAAGAATTGGTTGGTAAAGATGATGAATAGTGATGAATAGTGTTGGGTCTTGTTTGCATGATGTTATTTTGAGTTTCTAGTAGAACAACTAGATCCCATAACAAGTTTAATGAATGAGTTGGAGTTAAAATTCAAGGATTGCCCTTCAAATGATGAAATGAGATTTTTTGTTAAACTTATGAAATTGGACTTAAGTGTTAGACACTTATTTGGTTTAGTTGGTATCGTTGTGATGCGTTCTTGAATTATGTGAGTTCGTATATGTAGATTGTGACTCGTTGGCATTATTGAAATATTTGGGGGTAAGGTTGGAAGTAATTTGTGGTACGTTGAAACTTACTACCCTCGGAACTTTCTCCCTACTCATATCGAAACACGATTAAATTGAGTTTCTAATTGTGAGTCCTAGCTTGTGGGGACGAGAGAGTTGGAATTGTACCATTCTTGCATCATAAGAGATTTAAGTGCTATGAATATTATTTTCTTGAAATATTTTATCTTAATTTTTTTAAAACTAAATAAATAGGGAATAACACTTGTAGTATTTTTTGAAATGGAAATACATGAGTTGTGAAATATCTTGAATTTAACTATTCTCAAATAGTTAATTTGGCTATAAATATCATCATTGATAAATGTAAAGGTTTTGGGAGTTACTTAAATTCACCGAGATTGACCTTGGATACTTTTTTTCATTTGGTCATGAAACTACACGTGCCGGTGTAGGCGTAGAACCTATCTTATGGTTGGGAACTACGGTAGAGTACTTCCCATTAGGGGTACTATTGTGCTGATTTATTAGCATGGCTGAGTTGATTCATGCGGCACAACGATGAGACGACTTAAGCAAGTAGGGTATATACTACTTGTCGCTAGGTACATAATCTAGTTGATCTTTTTTCGTGTCAGTGATGGTATAGTGCTCCCGGTAAATGAAAAATCTAACATGATTTTGCAAAGATCAATGCTAATGGAAGATTTTAAAATATGTTTTACCATATTATTTTATTTTACTTTCTAAATTGTTAATTGATATGAAGGCTTCTTTCTCGATATCAATTGTTATTGCATATCTTATATCTTCTTAAATCTTGTCCTATTTTCTTTTGGGGAACGGTTCATAATTCATACTAGGCTTGTGGAGCTTAGGCTTTTCGGCCATATTTCCATTTCTATTTTCAAGGATAAGACCTGAGGAGCTTGGGCAGCGTGGATAGGGCAACTCTACATTTTCCGTTGACGTTATTTGGTGAGACTCCACGCTGGTATTCGTGGAGGACTTTATTAAATTACTATCCTTTTGAGCCACCAGGTTATGCCTTGGTTGACTATTCCATTCCGTGTCATAGAGATTACATAAACAATAGTAGTATTCATTTTGGGTTGTAATCCTATGGTTACTTACATGGCGTGCATGAATGAAACTTTCTTTTATCTTTATGAAGCTTTGCCTTCAAAGGAAAAATATTTACTTAAAGACATTAATCATGTTTTATCGTATATCTTAAAATGATTGTAATTGAAGAGGTTTTCGCATCCTCCTATTAGGCATATAGATGTGTATTAATCTATGGGATGGTTCACTCGGATCTGGTAGAGTACCGGGTGCCAGTCACGTAGTTTTAGAGCGTGACATTATTCATCACATAACTTTCGGCATAATTATTCAATACATAAGCATTATATCTATGCATAATTAATTGGTGAACCAGACACCCCTAAATGTCAAATGCCCCCCTTACACCCTTTTTCACGCCTTGAGGTATAAACAAATGAATATTAAGAATTTCTTTTATCTCAAGTAAATTTTACTTTCTCTTTTACTCTAATTTTGATTAAGATATCGCACAAACATTAAAACTTTGGATGGTAATAGGTGATAAAATAATGAATAATACACATAAATTGGTGTTTCAACGTGGAAGACGGTGCAAATAACGACTATTATTTGTTGTGGTATTGCTCAGCTGCTTATAAACTAGATGTATTGTGAAAATATTTTGAATTTATATACACAATTATCAACGTATTTAACAGAATGTAGAAGGAAACTTGCTTATTTGTCAAGCTATTAATCCTAAGTCCTAATTCACGTAAGCTCTCACTATAGAGAAGTTATTCAAAGTTGAATCATAATGTCACTAAGTGTTAATACATATATGCAATTAAAGGTGGAAGTTCAAGAAGAAGAGGTGATGGGAAGTTGAAACGTTGTTTATGGAGAGCATGGAAACTTTTTTATTTTGGAGCGTACGTGAGATTATAATCAATATTGATGATAGGATTCTCCTTATAGAAAATAATAATAATAATACTATTATTATTACTATTATTATTTTGTGTAAAGTCCCTCTCTACATTTTGTATAGAGCTTCTATTGTAGGACGTAAGAGCTCATTTTAATAGAATAGTACATAAATTAATAATTTGACCAAACGAAGTGATTTTGAGACAAAAAACAACTACTAGGTTGCTAATATAAAGAGTCTTGTTGTTCCCTTTAACATATTACCACTATTGCACTAAGCTCATACTTTAACTTACTAGAGAAATCGATCTTTTTCTTCTTTACACTGGTATATGATCAATAGAACATCCAGAAAAACCACGCCTCACAAACACGCGAAGAAGAAAATCACATACATTAGTTTTAATTAGCAAATCTAATATATTTAATTTTAATGGGGCCGTGGCCCGTGGGATACGAACTAAGGTCCTTGCCCAAATACTGAGTAAATAAAATACATCAAAGTGAAATAATAAAAGAAATATTGATCATTAAAACTGAAACTTCTTATATTTAATTTTATGAAACTTTAAAAATAAGAATAAACCTTTTTTGGTCCGTTGTGAAAATATTGGATTTGAATTCGTATTATAGCTACTTATTCATATATTTCTAGTATATTTTCCTTCTTCATGAAAGTGCTAAAAAAATACCTATAGATGTAATAAATTCTAACACAATTTCAAATCATCTCAAATGAACATGGAGACTTTTACAAGGTTGAACAATTAGAATCTGCATTTATCAGAAATATTCAATTGTGATGAGTACAAAATATACACTACTAGAAATTCGGCAAAAATCGACCGCGGTCTACCGATCAATTTTGGTTGGCCAAAAAACCGACCAAAGTTGGTCGTTTTTCAAAATATTTTATTTTTTAATTTTATTTTGCGAAACCAACCAACTTTGGTCGGTTTTCTTTGGCACAAAAATGCGGGAAACTATTTTTGAGTCCCGCGAAATTTATCTTTCAAGAAACCGACCAACTTTTGGTCGGTTTTCATTTAAAATAAATTAAAGTTAATATTTAAAAAACCTATCGCAATTGGTCGGTTAATTCGGCCGGTCATTTTAAAAAACCGACCGAATTCGGTCGGTAATTTTATTTTTTAATAAAACCGACCGATATTGGTCGGTTATTTTCGTGCGAAAATACAGTTAAAGAGTATAAATGAAATAAAAAACAGTCTTAAAACAAAATTCACTAATGATCTAGTAGTAGAATAGTATCCTGCCACAGTATAGACTCCAGTTCGATTCCCAGAGGGTGCATTTTTTAATTACATAATTTAAAAACCGACCAACTTTGGTCGATTTTTTTTGGCATTTGTTTTTTTGATTTTGATTGACTGACCAAAGTTGGTCGGTAATTTCTGACCAACTTTGGTCGGTATGCCCTTCCGACCTTCAAAATACCGACCACACGTTAATAGTCGCGTTTTAGACGGTTATTGGCCATTACCGACCTACTTTGGTTGGTTTTTTTGGATGATTTTTGCCGAATTTCTAGTAGTGATATATAACATATATCAATACTAACGTAATATTCCCTATGTTTGTTATCTTTTCTGAAGTTTATAAAAAATTTAAGACAATGAATTTCTAATTTTTAAATTTACACTTTTATTCAAGTTTGTCTTTGTAACGCAAATTTCTTTCGATCAGAGACGGATCCAAAATATTAAGAAGATATATGCACTATTGTAAAGAGATGAATCAAAAATTTATACATGACAAGTTCACACTTTTGCTTCTTACTATGAATTCATTATCATTTTAAAATCATAGGTTAAAATTAAATTTTTCGTTGTATTTTTAGTGATTTAACATATATATTATACTTCGTATTAAAATTGTCGGGGTCACTGAACCATTAACTATATGCTACCTCCCCCTTGCAATTAGTTTTAATATAGATATTTGATTTAATTATATAAATTTTTGAGATTACAGGAAGAGAATAGAGATTTTAATATGTTAGATTTGGGGATTTTGAATGAATAAACCAAATAAAAAAGCAAAAAAAAAAACTTAACTAAAATACAAGAGGGAACATTAGCCCACAAATGTGAGATTTGAAACCCTGAGCTCAATTCCAGTAAAAAGAAAGGAAAAAAAATATAAGATTAGAACTACCTAATTTTACTTGTAAATGTGCACCAAATAACAATTGCATCATAGAACTCTTTGAGCTTGGGTGTACACATAAATCTAAAATTTTTAAAAATATACTAACATTATTATACATAGTATAGGGAGAAGAGCAAGGGTTCAAGTGCTCATGGGTTCACGTGTCCCATCGATAAGCCCCTGGTTTCGACATTTGATTTTTCTATGATGAAGCTAAAAATAAATGAAAAATCACATAATATTCTTGTCACCATTTTATTGACCTCAAAACCTATAACTTATTGCAAGTCATTTCTTCTCAAAATGTGTAAAATTTAAGCTTTGAGAGCCATTAGTCAACAAATGACAATATTATGGTTCACCTATTTGGCAGTTCGAAGAGTGGTGAAGTTAAATCAGACTATGTAATAATCAACAATGGCGCAAGTCATATGACAGATGAGTTCACCGGGATGAAGCAGTGACATCATTGTAAATGAAAATTATAGTCATCTCACATTTGTGAGTAAACCCACAGGCTACCTACATAGCAAAATGCCTCATTCTATAATCCAGTAGTTATATTCAACAAAAATAAGTAGTCAGTTTCAATGCCTTGTACAAGTCAATAAGGTTACTCTAGCTCAAACTAATAAGAATGTAGACACACCATAATACACAAGTTACAAAAAGGAATCACTGTCTAAGTTAAAAATTGTGTAGCATTTTACAACAAGTCCGAACACCTATGATCTCCACTCACTAGAATCTTACATTTTATTGTCATAGCCATTGGTATCACCTTCTCTACCTATCTGTGTGAGCAACGACCCATTAGCTAAAATCAGTGGAAGAAACAAGCTCATCCATAGCCTTCATTGTGGTGTCTCTAGTTAACTTATTCCACTCCTCCTTTGAAAATTTCTTCAGGAAAAAAACATGTAAGAGAAGCTCCACCTTGCACTTTTCACTTCATCTACTAATAACTAATTTAGTCTAACCTCGACTGATTGTGTCATTTCGATTTCTCTCGGAAGTCCTGGAACCATATGACCCTTTTATCACTGATGTGTAAGAATCCTGAGATTCCCAGAGATAACTCGTGTCTATTTGTAATAAATTCCTGCTTTGCATGAAAACGGCAGTGTGAAAATATGAAGTTACTGCAAAAGCAAAAGTCTTTCGCCTATATACATAACAATAGAATAAAAAGACCAGACTACATAAGCATCAACTAGAAATTATTGGGAGAAATGAGCTAGAACAATAAAAATAAAGGCAGACTCACTTGCAAAAGCGCAAAACATATTTGGGACGGAATATTCTCCTCAAGACTAGCGAAATCAGAACTCCACATATCAGTGCCTCCAAAACCAATAAAAGATCCAGAGAACTCTGAAGAAAAAATAAAGCTATGTAACTGCCCAATTAACTCCGGTAAGCGCTACAGACTACCAAAAGTGTGAGAATTTTGGAGGATCAAATGTATAGGTGAAAAACAAAAAGTATTCCTAGCCATAATGGAAACCTGAATAATCAATCCCGAAGCAAAAACTCGGATGGACCAACCGACATATTGAGATACTCCGATGTCAATGGATCCATCTTCTGCAAGTACAAGTTTGTGAACAACCCAAAACCCCAACCACGTAGGGCCCAGGGAAGGCCCGCACTACAAGGGATGTGATGTAGACAGCCTACCCTAACCGCTTCCACGGTTCGAACCCGTGACCTATAGGTCACACGGACACAACTTTACAAGCTCCAAGGCTCCCCTTCCCAACCAAGCTCCAGCTGTTAGGAGGAAAAGCAGCAGAATTTGCCAACTGCAAAAAAAGTTCAGTGCATCACCCAAAATTCTCTGGAAAGCAGAATGCTCAATGCCGAAACCAAAAGGTAGATCACTTTCGAAAATTCAATTATCTTTATCGTGAAAAAAACAACAGGAGTTTGCAACATACACTTTTTTGACATTAATTTTGGACTTTAAGTGAAATAGTGGCACTCAACATCAAGTTATCTGAGGTAGATTTTCATTGGCATGAGGACCCTTAGCAAATGGTTTTCCTAACACCGATATATTGAACGAAACGAATAGATGGAGCCTTAGTGGACGTTTGGACATAAGAATTGTAACATTCCAAAAAAAAAAGTGAAAAAGTTTTTCAAGTAAAAATGGTATTTGAAAATTAGAGTTGTGTTTGGACATAAGTATAATTTTGGGTTGTTTTTGAAGTTTTGTGAGTAATCTGAGTGAAAATTTTGAAAAACAGCTTTTTGCAGTTTTTTAAAATTTCGAAAAATTACAAAATGGAAATTGGAAATTTTATGAACAAACACTGATTTTGAAAAAAGTGAATTTTTTTTGAAAAAAAGGGAAATATTTCTTATGTCCAAACGGGCTCTTAGTTCCAAAATATAAGTAAGACAACTAATAGAACCAACTTTCTTATGTCCAAACGGGCTCTTAGTTCCAAAATATAAGTAAGACAACTAATAGAACCAACACTAAGAACTTACATACAGGGTTATGCATGTCTTCACCAATACCAATCTCGTTAAGTATTGAACGCAACAATTGTGGCACATAGCGCAGAAAGAAAGATCCCACTCCAACCTAAATGAAAGAAACTAGCAACGGTTATTATGAAATTTAAAAAGGATGGCATAAAGAATAAACACTAGGATTGTACTTATAGTAGCAAAGATTCACACAATGGATGAATACAAGAATATTGCTAGTGAATTCTTCCTACCAGTTGGAAGAAGCTTCGTTTCTTGTCATTAGAAGCACCTCAATGTCAATCAGAAAACTTCAACATTAAAACATGATATATACTTACATGCATGGTATACAGCTGCTATGCATATAGCTCAAACATAAAACATTGAGCATGTACTTTTAGTTGGGCCCCGGGAATTTCTCGGTTATTAAAAAAGAAAGTTTATTCTGATTAGTTAACATTGACATGGATGATATACATTATATGATTGTAAATAGGGAACCCTAAATTTCTAGATTGGCTCCAAGATCGACTTATCTTTTTACTACGCTAAACTACTTGAACAAATAAAACTCTATTAGCGGACTTTAACAACAACAAACATATTCCCACAAGTGGGGTCTGGGGAGGGTGGAACGTACACAACCTTACCCCTACTTTGGAAAGGCTTTAAGGGATCGTTTGGTATGCGGACTAAATTATCCCGACATTATAGTCCTGCCAGCTGGGAGGTGGGATATAATAATACCAAGTTTGATGGGACAAGATGGGATACCCAGGATTAAGTTGGTTGACGGTATAAATTTATACCTCCAACCAAACATAATATAAATTTAGTACCACACTTTATCCCACCTTATTCCGCGTACCAAACGACCCTTAAGAGACCTCTTGTACATCTCTAAAGGGCAGCCCGATGCACTAAGCTCCCGCTATGCGCGGGGTCCGGGGAAGGGTCGGACCACAAGGGTCTATTGTACGCAGCCTTACCCTGCATTTCTGCAAGATGTTGTTTCCACAGCTCGAACCCGTGACATCCTGGTCACATGGCAGCAACTTTACCGGTTACGCCAAGGCTCCCCTTCACCTCTTGTACATCACTAAGAAGTTAAAATCTTCGCCTAGCCAATGAAATCAAATTCTCGGACCAACACATTATATATATCAACCATTCAGTACAAGTTAATTCAATTTGTATGAAAAAGATCATTCTTTGATAAGGTTTACATAAAAAAAAAAAAGATCATATCTACGGCACTTTAAAAATTGCCTTAACTTGAAAATGATAAGATTCACATTAACTACAAAAGATTGTTGATAGTATGTAAAGTGGAGATAAAGTTGTTTTATTTGTTTCTATAACTTGGCAACTAGATGTTCTCTAGTCTGTTAATAAGTTATGACACTACCTGTCAATTATCCTAAATGGAATCACCTAAGAACTCTTCAGTTTTTTCTGGAGAAACGTTAATTTCATGATTAGTTATTAAGATCTTATTTCCTATCCTGTTCATATGCATTTCAGTTAATATGCTCAACTTTTAGTTCTAAACAGTAGAAATTATTAATTTTCAGATTTTCAACATTTCATAGTTATTATGTTGCGATGAAGTATGAATTAACATGAAGCGTTTGAATTAAATAACCTACAGTTTTTTTGATAAATTCCACATACTCTTTTTGTTTAAATTAAGTGCCTACTTATCCTTTCTAATGGCCCAACAAAATCTCATTTCTAATGGGACATAAATATCCAATCTTATATGATAAAATGGTATAAAAGATCAAGTATTACCATTCACAATATTTGTTCACTTTTCATTTTTTTTATTGTTAATATTTGTTCACTTTCTTATCTAGAAAAAGTGCCTTGCAAGCTATAGCTCTCCAGTAATAACTTGACAGTGCAAAAAAGCAGATAATTAACTAGCATGGAATATAATAAGTACATCTACAGTTTAATTCATGAGTGTCTTATCTTTGTCTTCTTATAATTGTATTATTTACTCATTTCCTCTCTCTGTTTAAGTACATCTATAATTCAATTCAAATGTGCCGTTTAAAATGAAAAAAAGTAACTATAAAATGTGAAAGTCAAGATAGTTAAACTTTCATTAGTTAAGCAAAAATACTATGGTATAATTTAAAAAAAAGACAATTAATCAAGACATTTTCCAAATCCGTATCTCAGCTATGAGCTAACAAAGAACAAAAGAGCACACTCTAAACTTTTTCAATCTCTTATTTTTATCTTTCCTTTAAAAGGTGATTTCAAGCGAATTGTTAAATCCCTTTGTCAAAAGAAAAAAATGTTAGCATTCTTCCTAGCTTTCTTCTTTTTATCCCTGCTAACATTTGGGTGAATTTTTGAAACTTATATATCCATCTGCTGTTCACACATAATTTGTTGTAAGAACACAAAGCATTTATGGTGCTACTCGGCCATTTGTTGTGCAAAAGATTTCTTCTTCTTATTATTTTTTTGGGGATAAGGTAATACTTTTGTTGCAAAACATTTCTAATTTTCAAGAAAATTTATTATCTTAGGCGACACCATTAAAAAAGTAGTTTAGCTTCTGAAATCAACTAAACAGTTTGCTTTACAAAATTTGAACTACATGTCAAGATTTGAAACTGAAATAACAATCCCAGCAAGACCTCCCATGCTTTTTTGATATTTAAAACAGAGAGAATTCACCAATCCTAGCTTAGGGGCTCCTCTTTGCACTCAGAAAAGGAACAATTTTGCAAAAGTATGAATACTTTTTTGAGAATGCAAAGGTACGTAAGTTACCTGGAAAAGAACCATCAGTATCACAAGGAAAATGAGTGACCCTACTGCCATAGTAAAATCCTAGAGACTTGCTAAGGAAGGATGCCAGAGTAATTAACAATATCCCCAGTACCAGAAAAATAACACGATAAAAACAAATTCTGCAAATAAAGGATATTAAGGTTACTTAATTGAGTTAATGCCAAAAGCAATAAAACTACAAAAAGAAGTTAATTTCAGATTGATCCAGGGAGAACAAACCTTCATCCAGCGAGACCTGAAGAGTTTGCTTAGCCGAGCTGGCCATTCTAATATCCAAGAACTTGTGATCGAAAGGTGACATAGATCTCACCCATGAACCTTTGGTTAGTTTCATCCATTGGCCTGGTCGGCACATCCCAATTTCAAGGGACTGATTTCTGCAAAGTTGAAAAGGACCCTTAATAATTTTATACACATCGCATTACCTGATCAATTTTTTTTATATATATACATCACATTATCTTAAGACATTAAAGATGAATTGGACCACCTATACCTATATTACTTTCAAGAGGTATCCACCTCTTTAGTTGCTTTTTACATTCAGATGATATTTCAGTTTGAGAAGTTTCACATTAAGAGCTCAAAAGGCATGAATGTTGAAGCAAAAGCAACTCATTAGACAGGTCATACCATGATACCAGTAGTGTTTTTTTGTTAAGTGGGTCTTACTAGAAACTATTCACCCTCATCAGTCATCACCTTTGCTTTACATATTATACTACACAACAGAAAGTTTATATCTCGAAAAAATGTTCCTCAACAATAAAGATTTGGCACGTAATAAAGCACCCAAATTTTTAGATATGCATCAAACCATTACAATATTTTTACAAGGCAAACAGATACAACTTTAACGAATATACTAAGAAATATAAGGAAGGTGAAAGAGCTTTAAATAGTCTCTCCTTCCTGACTTGCACTCTTCTCCCACAAGCCTTACTATCTAACCCCAAGTTTCATATCAGATTTAAAGAGCATCAAGAACAAAATGAATTGGAGTATATCTTTGAGAAACTGAAGAGAAGGGAAACAAACGAAGGAATAAGATACGGCTGAGTAAGAAATGAAGATGTGTTGGCTGCAAAAACAAAAGCCACCGCAGGGAGCAATATCAACTAAGTAATTGAAATGACTAAATTGCCCTCAGGTTTGAATTAAATTCCACGAAGCACACACGTCGAAACCTAGCTCTTCTAATATATAGAAATAACTCATTCTGGCTTTAACTAAATACCTGCCGTCTATGGTACTCCACCTAAACTAAAGGACCAATATTAGAAGATTCATGTACAGTGAAGAACTGATCTGTGTTCAGGGGCGTAAGGCTCCAGTAAGCACCATTATTGTCTATACAACAGCTGTGCCATTTGATTTGGTAAGAACCCACAGGAAATGCAGAAACATCTAGCAAGCAGGTTGCAAATCCTTGCCCTTTCTCATTAGGATCAAAAGACACAAATTTATCCACAACTGAAGTCCCTTCAGCACTTCCCATAGCATGTAATCCACCCCTCTTGGGAGACCCTGTTGTAAAGTGCAATAGCTTGTCATTAAGGTCTACCATATGATTGCTTTTCCAAGCCTGACAACTGGACTCTGGTACTTTCTTATCCTCGCTTTCACTAAATACTTGAAAGGATGTTCGTGAGCAAAGGATGCAGTACAACTTCGACACCCGAGACAGCTGATCTGGCAATATATTTCTTAGTTGAATGCACAGAGTTAGAGGGAGCTGAAAGCCTGACAAGACAGATATATTATCTATCCTTTTACCAGCTTCATTTGTTATGAAAAGCTCAGCAGAAATGGGAGGCCTGCCATTTCACGGTTCAATATTAGAATACTACCAAAATTAACGAATGCAAAACTCAAGAATCATTATATTTTAAAGAAGAATCCACTATTATGTTAGATGATCTGTTGCTATATATTCCCACTCGAGACAATTTTAGATAAAAAGGGGACGATGGCATCTGAGCATGAGTTGGCTACCATATGAAATATAAAACAAACTAACAGCAGTAGAAAATCAAAATATTTCCAATAATAGCTCCAGATCCTCTTATTGATTGCAAAGTCCACGTAGGAAACTTCAGTTACCTCAATCGAAAAAAGTGTTTGGGAGTCCGGAAAGGGATCTGTATCCACAAGAAAATAATGTTGAACAGCAACTGCAAAGCATCACGGGGAATTTGGGATATACCAGTATTGGCATGTACAGTACTCGCTTGCAAACTAAGAAATCTCTGAACAGAATATCTACAAAGTTTAGCAACATCTCTTGCTTCAACACTAGTGGAAGAAATTTCATTTTGGAATTCTTGCATGGAACAGCTCCTAGAACTTCGACGGAAATCCAAAAGCTGCCGTAAATTTTTGCTAGTCTCTAAGTCTATATAGCCCAGTCTCCTTAATAAGTCATGAACCAGCAGAGTATGAAATTGCTCCTCTGAGGTTTCAAGACCATAAATGCTACAATCTTGTTTACCATGGGAACTAACAAAACGACATGTTAATCCAGTACTAAAGGCTAATAGTGAACAGCCTAATCCAAGNAAGGCTAATAGTGAACAACCTAATCCAAGATCAGAAACTATCTTCATACTTTTTCTGTCCATGCCAATGAATGACGCTCCTAAGAGATCAAATTCTCTTGCTAGCCTCATGAGCTGAGAAGAAGCGTGGGCAAGCAATTGCAACAAAGAGCTGAGTCCTTGTGAAGATTCTGACTGCTGAACCAAAATCCTTTCCCCTAGTCGTTCAGTACTTCTGGAGGCTTCTTCTGAAAACGAATTTGTGCTCAATAATTTAAGTACGTCTGCTACCGTTCCAACAACCTTTGATCTTATAGTAATAAACCATCTCTGGAAACTAAAAGCACAACCAGAAACAGAGGTACCAAAAGCTTCCTCTAAAGAACAAAGTTTGTTGGAGGCCCCGACAACATTTTCAATTTGATTAACTGTCGTAGTTTCCCCGGCAGTATTTCCAGAAAGAGTAAGCCTGAACAACTGGACTTGCCTTTCTAATTCTGAAAGATGGGATAAGGATTTCAACCACAAACAACAGATATCAGATCGAACCATAGGAATTAGATCCCCAAATATGTAAGCAGCTACCAACCATGCACCATGACATGCCGCATATTTTCCAAGCTTATAAGACGACCAATACTCTTTTTTATCCAAAATTTCCTTCACACAGTCATTAATGAAACTTTCATTCTGGGATAGGGAACCATCAGCTGACAGAGAACTACAACGAGATAGACGAAAATTTCTATTAGAAACCGTATCTTCCCCTATCTTCAGCCACATACAGTGATATCCAGCATGGAAGTGCAATAAAAGGTGATATATTAGGTGGATGTAAACAGGAAGTAAGCTGCACCGGTGCACATGCTCAACCAAATGCTCCATTCTGTTAAAGACTTGGGTGGCACCAGCAGTGGAAACTTCCAGCATTTCAAAGCAAGTTATCAGAATCTGGGATAAACAAACCAAAACTCTCGATGCAGTAGATGCATGGTTCTCTTTGTCGAGCTCTGTCATATGATGATCTTCTGAGCCTGAATTCTCCATGCTGGTAACTTCATTGAGCATGCGAACCAGATGTTCGATAACTATACAGATCTTATCCAGTACAATACCAGAGAGATCTCGATGTCTTTCGACCAGATTAACTAAAATAAAGAGTAAACTCTTTACCTCCTGCTCCGCCTCTTTGTTTGGATGAGGATTATCAACCACTAACTTTATTAGTTGGGAGATACGATCGATGGTGAAAGTAATCATGCGAGATGCAACAATTGAAACAATTCCACCAGCTGCATCTTTTGGTATTCCCAAAAGCTTGTCAGAAATACTAGCTAATACATGAACAGATAAAATCCTCTCTGACATAATTGAAGAATGTAGTTTGAACTCAACAATTTGTAAGAACTTGGAGAAACTAGTGAGGATCTCTGTGCATGGAATTGTCTCCAGGTTGGGCAGCGGCATCTGCAAAGTAAGAGAACGTAAACAGTAGGTGTGTGATGCCAACACCATAAATTTGACAGAACGAAAGAAATACCTTGTATAAAGCTCTTAGAGCTTCAAACTGTAAAGCTGGTGGAAAATCAGACTGATTTATGACACCAAACAACTTTAGAGTCACATTTGAACTGGCATGGAAGTGATAAACTCCTTTGGCTAAAATGAAATGGAGGCATTTTAATGCCAAAGCTTGCAGGCTCAAACCTCTGTCCTTTGCCATAAATAAGAAAAGTAGTTCCATCTGGTAAAGAAAAGTAATTTCATCTGTTACCAAAATCCAGTAATAAATATGCAAAAAATCAAGTAGAAAGTACAATAGATGTCCCTGATTTCGATATTATATAGTCTATGATTCAACTAGTTTGCAGAGACCACCTCAGTCATGACTAATGTAGTAATATCGCATGGCCTTACATATTAAATCAATCAATCAACTGTACCTAAATCCCAAGCTAGTTAGCTCAAGTAAATATGATTCTTCTCTATACATTGTGCTTTATTCAGGCCTATTTCATTCTAATATTGGTAAAGAATTGGTCTTTTAAATTAGGGGTTCTCTAAAGCTAGAGATCCCCTATACTTAGCACTTATGCTTACTCTGGCAGAAGCTTCTCTAAAACCAGCTTCATGCCTAAAATGATATATTTGGAGGTCCACATAGGAGATGGTGAAACCATCTTAGGCAACCTTCTCTCGTTTCCGGTTATGTACTGATTTTTATCATTTTTCAAGACTTGTGACATTGTATAATTAACCTCAAATTAATATCATAAATTCCTAACACCAGCTATACACACCGTTTACCAACATATCCATCTTGTAAGATTACATAAAACCTTAAAAATATGGTAGTTGCTCTTCTGTGCTTTTTGGGTCTTAAGTTTCATTTCAAGAAAATTAATTTGGCTCCATCTTATTTTTCTATTTCCTTTATCATCATTGCAGTTCTTTACCATTAATGATTTAGGACTTTGAAACAACACTCAGCTTCCATTTCTTTTCTTATTTTCCTTATCATTTTTGTAGTTCTTGCCTCTCTTTGTACGTTTGTTGGCATTAGAGACAATGAAAATCAAAATAAATGAGTAAAATTATATACCTGTATAGGAATTAAAGATGTCCATTTAGAAGCAATTTTGGAAAGTGAAACTAGCATCACCAACGAGAAGTCTTCTTCTGAAGATTCTAGGATAAGCTTCATACCAGTCTGCAATATGAGAAAGGTCCACTTTAGCGCTGCAATAGAAATTTGAACTCACTTCTGCATGTAAGCAAGTGGTTAGAAAATACAGGTGTACCTGGTATCGTTAAAAACCTATTTTATTGAAGTTGTAAGTTGCAACAAGAAACTATTGCAATAGTCATTAATAGATTATAACTAGCGTTTCATGCATACAAAGGAAAAACATTGCATTCACTGTGCATAAGGTTGTCATCTCTATGACTGTTAACAGTATGGTTTCTGAAAAATGTTTTGTTCGAAAAGCAAGCACTTTTAGAGCAAAACAAAAAGGGAAAGAAGGATAAGGGGCCTGTGTAATGCGCCAAAAATTGTAATCAGAACGCCTGCATGTGCTTGGTGGCAGAAACCATATTGAAGAGAAATACTGAACCTTATGAGCTCTATCCGCTAGTAAAAGTGAGCACCACATTTTAGCAAAAGCTCGTCCTCCTGCTAACCTTATAACCCTTGATGTTTCAGATGACATCAGCAGACCTCCAAGCATTTCCAGAAATACATAAGCAAAGTCGTTCGCCAATTCAGAAAAGCATCCAGCTGCAAACAAAGAAGCCTTTGCCTGTAGATAGATGCAAAATGATTGTATCAGTTATCATTCATGCCAAAAGTTAGACGCAAACAGAAACAATATGTAGTTAGTGTTACCTCAATCTCTGGACTAAAAACAAAAAGAATAGCAACGCAAAATAAGATGATCAAGTATTGGCGACAAAATGAAAAGGCAAAGTTCTCTATGGACAAAGGAGACAATGATCAGAGTGATACCCCTTTCACATTGATTAGGAATATCAGACAGATGAGGAAGGCAGTAGGGACGATAGCGAAGAAAGGAACCACGGGAGGGTCCATAGAGAATGAGATCGCCGAACGCTTGATTAACTCCTTTTGCCCCTTAGAATTTTGATCATGCTGAAACTTCCACAGTTAGTTTAATTGCTAGAGGGAGATTATCGCCTCGGAGCATAATTTTTCATAGGAGGTAAGATGATCAGACCTTTCCCAGGGGCATAAAAAAACAATTCCAAACATAAAATTCTTGCAGTTGCCCAAGGATCCATCCATAACGCGGTTAAAGGGACTAAATCCCTAATGCTTTTTCAAGACTTAAATTTTTCTAGATCTACTAATCACCTATCTTTTGTCTGTCTTAAGAGCCTTTGGTTAGTAAAGACAAGATTGAAGGATTTAGGAAAGAACTTGGTTTTGCCATTGTTTTCATAACATAAACGGGAAACTGTGAATATTTTTGGACTCCTCTTTTGACTATCAGATCATTGAAGATCAAACAAACAACATGCGAGTATTCAGCTAAAACACTCTGAATATAAAACTCTCCAGTTTGTGTTACTTGCATAGTTGCATTTATCACAAATGCACAGCTAGAAGGAGTTAGCTCTAAGGGAGCAGACTAGAGCCTCGGCGGAAAATTCAGAAGGTCCACGGTACATAGAGGGAGACTTAATTTTATATTTTTCCCAGAAGAAAATTTGAGAGGACTGCCTCACAGATTGAGAAGAAGTTTTGATTTTATTTCTCGACACCTAGAACCAGATTTGGAACAAGGTGCTTCCTCCCAAAGTCTACTTTTTCATGTGGAGCATTTTGTAAAGTTATACATGGTACCATTCAGATTTCAGATTTTTTGGCATCATGCTTGAGCGTGGTACACGTTCCACAGTACCATGGAGAACTTAGTTATGACTGGCGAGCTAGCTGCCAAAATCTGGAAACTATTCTGAAACCTATTTGGGGTAAAATGGCGGAAAATCTTGATCATTCATATCCTACAATTCTCTTCAGCACACTTGCTCCAAATCATCCCTATAATTGTGTATTGGGAACTGGGAAGCATGGAAGAGCAAGCAGATTTTCCAACCAAACGTGTTATGGACAGGGTGAAACATCTTGTACTCCTACACCTTAATAAAGTCTTCCCTAAACTGAATCTTAACAAGCAGTGGATAATCTGTTGTGATGAAATTCTCTCGTACAAGCCCCATATGGACTGTAAAGTCGTTTACTGGGAAAAAACAGTCAGCAATATTGGGCTAATACAACAACAACAACTATGCCTTAGTCCCAAACAAGGTGGGGTCGGCTATATGAATCGCTGACCACGTTACTCCATCTAAACTCATCTCATGCCAATATTATGCACATATAAATAATATGAATATTAGGTAAATAATGTCAAAATAATATGTAGCGCTGAGTAATATGAGCACGTCTTACCTCCGGAACATGCATAGACACCAAGCTTGAAAGGATGAGGTATCTTACATCAGCACTATCTTTTGCAATATGAGCCCAGCAACCAAATAGAGCTAAAGCCAATGCTCTCTCTTCAATGTCTCCAGTGTCGAATACTATCTTTATTCTACTTAGAAGTTCTCTATAGCTATCTAATTTATCCTTCGAAAGGATCCCCTTATCTTTTCTCCCCTTGCTCCTCAATCGCCTCCTCTGCTTGAGCTCGGACAAGAAAATCTTCACAATGCAAAGCTTCATATGTTTGTCCCCTGACTTAAATGCATCTGCAAGCCTAAGGAGGATACTATTTGCAAATAGCTTATCCTCCCCAGGAATTAAGCCGAATACTTTGTACTCAGCAGCACTAAGATTTGACTCTCTACTCCACCACTCAAGTTTTGGCCCAATATCTAGTATGGCTTCTGCAGATTTACCTAACAATCATGAGAAAGAATACACAAGTATCACTCAGAAACGATAAAGTTATTGCAAAATGGATTAAACCAAACAATGATTCTTCACAACATTTAAGAGACATTGATAATCAAACTGGAATCATCATTGAAAATTGTAAGAGCAAAAGACGTTCTTATAGAAAACGAAGAAAAGGGTGTTTGGGTGGGCTTAAAAGCTGTTAAGCACTTTTTGGCTTATTTTGCTGTTTGGTAAACACCAAAGGTGTTTTTAAGCCAAAAGAAGCCATAAGTTGTTCACCCCTCACTTATGCTTTTCAGTTTACAAGCTCTTTGAGTTTGACCAATTATTTTACTATGTTATCCCTTGAATTTTCTTAAAATCTCCAAAATACCCTTCATTTCACACACTAATTTATTTTTGTTTTTCTGTTCCGGAGAAGCTGTAGTTTTCTTTCTCTTCAAAGGCCAACACGTAAGTGATAATTCCATCCGTTACAAACAACAACAACAACAACAACCCAGTATAATCCCACTAGTGGGGTCTGGGGAGGGTAGTGTGTACGCAGACCTTACCCCTACCCTGGGGTAGAGAGGTTGTTTCCAATAGACCCTCGGCATCCTTCCCTCCAAGAACTCCCCACCTTGCCCTTGGGGTGACTCGAACTCACAACCTCTTGGTTGGAAGTGGAGGGTGCTTACCATCAGAGCAACCCACCTTGTCTAATTCCATCCCTTACAATAAGTATTACCATTATCTACAAATATCATCTTGTCATTTGACCAAACATCCAGTTTGAAACAGATTTTTAATTCTGTCGATATTAGATACGAAATTTGCAAGGCTCCCTAATGACAACTGCAAGACTCAAATGGATTTGCATATCCATTGCATTACGTTATATCGTATCCTAAATTGATCGAATGGTGGAGATAAATCAACTAATATATTGTATTTTAACATGCTCTTATCTTCGAATTTTAGACTCATTTTGTATTATAATTTTTAATTTAGGAATACATTTGGACAAAGTAGGCTTTATATTATACTTTTTTCTGTGTGATAGTGGTTTAAAGTTTTGTCGTCCTCCAAAATCAGTGAATTGTGCAATTCAACTGTATTTAAGAAGATTAAATAGATTTTCTATATTGCAATAGCATAAACATATACTTCAACTAGGATTACCCAGGATATTAATTATTTTCAAAAGTCTATAATTATATGCCTGGGATACAACATTTTCATGGAAATCAAGACAGCATAACTTATCGCAAAACTATAACTTTAGGATTAAGATTTTCGTAATAATAAGCACCTTTTAGTGTTAAACAGTTTTAAGAACACACATCGAACTCCTTATTTTAAGCTTCTAACACTTATATCCTAAGACGTCACCATTTTTTAATAAAATCACCTACTAACACTTAAAAAGTAATTTGCACCACTTGGTGCTTAAAAGCTACTTTTATTCAACTAAGCAGAACGAACTCTTACTTTAATTAACAAAATTATGTAAGTGCAAAATTCTTACTCACCAGGTTTATTAGAACGGAGGCCCTTTTCAAGGTCAATGCTCCACTGCATCGCACAAGCCGATGGAGTTCTCTCCATTCTTATAGTCTTTTATCGTCTCTAGAGGACAATGAGCTTGAGAGGGAACAAAATTTGTCTGAACTCAATCAGTCTAACACTGCAATAGGAAAAACAGTAGCTTTGTAAAGTCGAAGAGAGATAAGAGTAGAGAGAAAAATATTGTAACTTTATAAAATCAGAAAGAGAGACAACATGCATCAGAAGAGAGGAAAATTTTGTCTATAACTTTTCAAAACTGGGACTTACAAACTCCAGTTTGCTCCGTCGAAAGAGAGGAGGGAGTGGAAACACTTTACAACTTACAAGGATTAGTATTTGCCAAACTTTGTAATTATGGAATTATCTTGAAACGAATCGCACGTACGTGTATTCGTTTTGTTTGGCGTGTCAAGAATCATGCCACGCATACGTGTACACAATTAATAACACTCAATTATTATTAAAATTGTTTTGCCAAAGTCGCGCGAACGCACATAGCCATGTGAATTGAATTGTTTGAAGTGTGCTTATAATCATGCTAACGTTGCGATTTTTACTTAGTTAGGGGGGTGATAGAGTTTTATTTATTAGGTACAATCATGCTTTCAACCCAAAACAAAACGAAACAACGTATAGAAATAAGAAGAAAAAAACGTGAGCAGAGTAAAACAATGAAGAAGAAGAAGAAGAACTGGACCTTTTATAACTTTCAAAATATCAAAGATCTTCCAACTAGTTTATAAGAAGAACACAGCGATGAAGTTGAAACGAACAAACCCGTCACCCGGATACCACGAACGGAGACTCGCCGGCGACCTCGACCGGAAGCTTTACTGTTTCGGCTGGGTTTTGATGGTGGTTGGACACTGAAATTTCAGGTGTTTGGCTGGAATTTTAAATGAGGTTTATGATTGGTTTAACTGGTGTTTCATGGCTGCGTTTTGGAGCCAAGAGTAAGGTTCTTTGGGGCTGTTTTCTGACTGTTTTACGGTGGAGTTAGCAGCGATTTGAGCTGCTGTTTTGGGGTGGTGTTAATGGAGTTTCACTTGTTTTTCATGGCTGAAACTACTGCTTTAATGATGGTTGAGGGACTGATTTACAGAGGCCGTTTGGGACTGTTTCTATGGCTGGATTTATGGAGAAAAAATAGCAGCTCCTCCTTAAAATATTGGACTCCCTCCCTTTCTCAATCTCGTTCTTTTCAAAAATTGATGCCTTTCCCCGTGCAAAAGAATTTAAAAAGGATAATAAGGGATATGGGGGTTGGGACTTTGACGCGAGGGAGTGGGAAAATGGGGCTAGAATAGTGGGGGTTAGTTGTGAGGGAGTTGGGGACGTGAGGGATTTAGGGGAAGGGCTACAGATTAGGAGAAATCTTTAAATTGCTCAATTTGTTATTCTTTTTTTCCTTTTTCTTTTCGTTAGTTTTTTTTTAAAAATGACTTTTACTTTTCTTTTCTTTTTTTAAAATGAAGGAAAAAAAAAGGTAAAATACAAAGCTATATATATATATACATGTATTTTAAATAATACTAAGAAAAGATACCATAACTAATTAAAATTCTAATTAAAAGAAACCATTTTTTTTGTAAATTTGTTTTCTTGTAAATAGAAATAAAACTTACTTTAAGAATGTGGATATTTTTGTAGTTTTAAATTTAATTATTTTCAAATAAAATCTATTAAGAGTAAGATAAAAGTTTAAAATATCAATATTAGAGCTAAAAGAGAATATTTACACTAAAATATTATAGAATTTGGGTGTGGTCAAAAATTAGGTGTTCGCAACCGCGCCACCGGCCTCTCACGGCCCTAGCTGGTGGTACTAGTGGTCGTCCACCTGATCCGGCCGCATGTGTCCTCACCATCTATGAGAGAATAGAAGTGCCAAGTTCAAGTTTTGAAAATAACAAATCTGCACGACAAGAATACAAAAAAGTGGAGTATCCTAACAGTTCGGTAGCCTCTCGAATATAAGTACAAACATCTATGTACCGATCAGCGAGACTTTACTAAACTTGCTCATGACTTGTAATACCAATGAACCTAGAGCCCTAATACCAACTTGTCACGATCCAAAATACCAATCGTCGTGATGGAGCCTAACACACCGACTAGGCAAGCCGAAACATAATAATAAAGAGCCAAAACAACAGAAATTTATAGAAATAGCATAATTTTGAAACCTCAATACAACCAAATACTATTAATACAAGGTAAATTCCCCAGAAACTGGTAAATATGAAGTCATGAGCTCTACAACAAAATACAAGTCTGAAACTAAACAATAATAACATTGTCTGAACTGCAACAACAATATGTAAGAAAAGACAAGTCAAAACTACGTCCAAGGATGCAGCTATACCTCGCCTCTCGAAGTTAGTCCAATCAAGTAAGACTACTGGTGATAACTGGTCCCACACCTGGATCTGCACAATTAAGTACAGAGTGTATTATGAGTACAACTGACCCAATGTACTCAATAAGTATCGTAACTAACCTCGGTGAGGTAAAAGAAGCGAGAACTATAAATATACTAGATATAACCTGTATAGTCTGAACTTTTAACGGGTACAGAACAATAACGAAACCAAGTCATAAAGCACAGGAAAAAGCATTTGTGTGTGGATGTGTACAGTTACTCAATTACTCTGCTCAGTCAATATTTAGCATATAAAGATGATATACAGATAAGTCAGTTAATAATCCATGGAAATTTACAAGTAGAGATGAAATGCAACTCCAAACAACACTGGCCAGACTTTCCTCAATATCCGCGTGCACACCATCAAGAGAGAAATATGAGAGGGCAACCCTAGGGGGGTGTATCCATATCCACACGTTGCACGGACAACTCACGTGCTGCACATACAACTCACGTGTTGCACAGACAACTCACGTGCTAATAATATAAACCGCACGGACTCACGTGCTAATAATATCAATATATGGATCCACAAGGACAACTCACGTGCTGCACGGACAACTCACGTGCCAATAACATCAACCGTACGGACAACGCACGTGCCAACAATCATAATCCGTCCGGCGTGGTCACATGCTACTAGTCCAACTCATAACACAGAGAAAACAAACATACGAGAATACATGCACATGATCAATTTTACCAATTTCATACTCCTAGACTTGTATATCTAGCATGTTATAGTGTAGGGATGTGCAATGTGTTCTATCACAACTAAAACAGATAAATTCATCATGGAATAGTAGTGCCCAACTGGGAACACAACCTCAATGAAACCCCAACATGGTACAAATAGCTCACATAGGGGTACACATAGGAGAAACAACTCAGTTTGAAGCTTAATAATCAATTCAAGGCATGACATAGCCTAAACACTACCCCGGACATGGATAAATAACCTAGTGTTAGCACATGGGTCGCAAACCCCACACATGTGCGCACCCATAGCTCATAATTATCATAAATAATTCTGGCAACTAGCGCCTCAACCAGTTTAGATAAGATACTTACCTCAAGCAAGCCAAAGCACTCCTCTAACAAGCTTTTCCCACACATATCGACCTTCGAGCGGCTCGAATCTAGCCAAAATAATGTAATACTATCAATAAAAGCTATAGGAATTGATTCCAAATGATAAAGCTAATATCTTTAACTCAAATAAAAAAAGCCAACCCCAAGCTTCTACCTTAGAACCTAACAAAATTTATAAATTTCGAACACTCATTCAATTACGAGTCTGATCATACAAAATCATCAAATTCCAACCTCAAATCGACATTCAAACCTCTACTTTTCATTTTTACAAAGTTTCCACAAAATCCCTCATTTTTCCACTTTAATTCACTAATTAAATGCTAAAAATAAAGATGAAATCATGATATAACAACAAATTCGAGTAAAACATACTTACCCTGATCTAAAATATGAAAATCCCCTCTAAAATCGCCCAAAACCGAGCTCTTTAACTCAAAATGTGAAATAATACTCTAACCCTCGATTTGGGATTTTAAAAGCTGTTGCATGCGATCGCGGAAAGTTTCTTGCGATCACGATGAACAAAAATCTCCAGTGGCAAAAACCTTCATCGCGAACGCGATAGACCAGTCGTGAACGCGATCTAGTCACCAACACTTATGCGATCACGGTCAGCCACACACGATAGCGATGAGCATCGCGTGAAAATTCTCAGGCCCCCTCTTCCTTATTCTCGAACGCGTCTCCTCTCCCGCGTTCGCGTAGCACAATCTTTCAAAGCTTCGCAATCACAATCTTAAACTTGCGAACATGTTGAAAAATACTCACCTGCCAGACTTGATCCTTCGCGATTGCGGCCCTCTTCTCGCGACCGCGAAAGAGGAAACTAGATGCCAAGAAATCAGCAATCCAACAAAGTCGAAAATGAGTTCGAACTTGATCGGAAACACCCCCGAGGCCCTTGGACCCCATCCAAACATACCAACATGTCCTAAAATACTATACAAACTTAGTCGAAGCCTCAAATCACATCACACAACACCGAAATCACGAATGTCACCCCAATTCAAGCCTAATGAATGAATAAATTTTCAACTTCTAAAACCAATGTCGAATCATACCAAACTAACTCTGATTGACCTCAAATTTTGCACATAAGTCATAAATGATACAACGGACCTACTCTAACTCCCAGAACCAAAACTCGAGCTTGGTATCAACAAAGTCAACTCTCGGTCAAACTTCTCAACCTTCCAAACCTTCAACTTTCCAACTTTCGCCAATTCAATCCAAAACGACCTACGAACCTCCAAATCCAAATTCGAACATACGCATAAGTCCAAAATCATCATACGAAACTATAGAAACCATCAAAACTCTATTCTGGAGTCGTTTATAATAAAGTCAACATCCGATCAATTCTTTAAACTTAAGCTTCCTACCATGGGACTAAGTATCCCAATTCACTTTGAAACATCCCCGGAACCAAACCAACCACCATGGAAAGTCACATAACCACAAATGAACATAGAACAAGCAATAAACAAGGAGACAAGGCTACAATACACAAGACGGCCGGCTGGGTCATCATATAACCAAATCTTAATTATGAAACATTTCATCTTCTTATTCAAAATAACCATAAGAACTACTAATATGTGAAAGACAAAGCAAAGAAGACCAGAAAAGCTTTAACAGTAGACCAAAAATCAAAACAAAGTGAGAAAAAACTAACTTTTGTGACAAAACTAGAATTACACTTACATTAGGCTTCAAACATTTATAGAATCCCCTTCCGAGGTTAAATACAGTCGTTGAAGTCAAGTGGTTAACAATAATGTCATATCGACATCTCATTTGGGATGAATAACTATCTTGAGACATTGATGGGAGAGAGAAATTTGTGAAAGATATGAGCCTTAATTTTTCAACAATGGAGGCTAAATAAGCATAGGGAATTATGGGTAGAATTGGGTTGGTATTATTGGGGTCAAGTTTGTGGATATGGGTTTTAATCTTGTGGGGTCATCTAATGTCGCAGCTAACATGGACCAAAAGTTGGAGAAGACAACTGCCACAATGGAAAGTCGTTAGGGATAAGGTTATTTTAAAAAGGATTGTTAACAGTAGGGGCTCGAATGGACGAAAAGTATAACGAGAGTCAAATGTAAGCAATATGCAATAGTGGAAGGGCAATTCCGGACCTTCTACCAAAACAAAAAAAAATAGATGGGTTTAATTTGATGAGTAAGAGGCAAAGCGGGTTGGATTTAAAAAATGGGAGGGTTTAATTTTGTATAGTACAAAACAATATACGTGGCAAGCTTATAAAGTGCCACGTGGCTATTCTATGGTGTCAAAATTGACAAGGTTTGCCTATTAGATACAGGGATATATTTGAACCCAAACAAAATATTAAGGGCATATATAGACTAAAAGGTTAACGAATGGTATTTGTAAGTCATTTTCTATTAGGTTAGGGGTATTTTTTTTGCCTTTTTTCGAAAAGAAATAGAACCATCATGGGTAGAGAATATAGGAAAAGGATGGGGAGGAGCGAGGAAGAGCAAGAAAAAGAGTTAGCATGGGCCCCGAGGAGTGAGATTCGTTCTAAAGTACTTGTAGAGATACTGAGCAAAATAAAATAAACCAAAGTGAAATAATGAAAGGAATATTGATCGTTAAAAATGAAAATTTCTTATATTTAATTTTATGAAAATTTTAATGAGGGTAAGCCTTTTTTGGGTCAGTTGCGAAAATATTAGATTGAATTCGTATATAGCTGCTTATTCAATGTTTACTATATTTTCCTACTTCATGAAAGTTGTAAAAAAAACTATTTGAAGAAATAAATTCTAATACAATTTCAAATGAAACTGAAAA